TTACAGCAGCCGTGATGGTCAATCCAATATTCGACGTTATCATCGGAAACATCAAAGGAGTTAGAAATAGTTGTGGTGCTGATGCTGCAACGCAAAACAGGTTGTGTCGCCATTACCAGAAGCATGGAGAAGAGGAAGGAGAGCTTACTCCACTGACGTCGGTAAGTGACCTGATAAATTCTCAGGATATTGTACAGGAGCAGAAGAGCGACTCCTCATTAGAATCAGTGCGAAGGAAGCTGGCGGAGAAGTCTCTGAACAGGTCTTTTAATGAAGAAACCTGTTTCATCGAGAGGAATAAGAGGATCTACCGAAGGTTCTGGCGTTAAATGGAGAGGAGCGTCTCCAGTTCGTCGTTCCAGCGAGGTATCGTCTTGCTGTTTTCCGGCTGGGTCACCACTCTGCTCTCGGAGGTCATATGGGTCAGAAAACGCTTGACCGTATTCAGGCGGAGTTCTTTTGGCCTGGCATGGGTCAGGAGATATCAAGGTTAGTCCGCTCATGTGATATTTGTCAAAAGACCAGTGACCGCGGACGCGTGAAACCTGCGCCATTGAAACCTATGCCGCTGATCTCCGAACCGTTCGAAAGAGTCGCCGTGGACATCGTGGGACCAATCCACCCGAGAGCGAGCGATGGATGTAAGTACATCCTCACACTCGTGGATTTCAGCACGAGGTGGCCAGAAGCAGTGCCGCTCAGAAATATAGATGCTGTCACCGTCGCCGAAGCCATGGTGGAAATCTTCTGCAGGATCGGTATTCCCAGGCAAGTGTTGAGTGATAGAGGGACACAATTTACCTCTGCAATGATGGAGGAAGTGCTCAGGCTATTGTCGATTAAGGGACTAAAAACAACTCCATATCATCCGATGTGTAATGGTCTCTGTGAGAGGTTTAATGGGACACTTAAAAAGATGCTCAAGAGGATGGCAGCAGAGCAGCCGAAGGAGTGGCCCCGCTATCTTGCACCACTTCTCTTTGCTTACAGGGAAGTTCCCCAAAGTTCTTTGAAGTTCTCGCCCTTTGAACTCGTTTATGGGAGAACAGTACGAGGACCTCTTCAGATTTTGCGTGAGCTGGGACGATAGTGGAGTAGACACCGAAGTCAAGACAACATACACTTACGTCATTGACCTGGCAAATCGTCTTCAGTCTACTTGCGATCTGGCTAAGCAAGAATTGCTGAAAGCTCAGGAGACGCAGAAGGCATACTACGACAGGAAAGCAAAGGTACGTCTGTTCAAAGCTGGTGATAAATGCCTTATCCTCTTACCCACTTCTCATAATAAGTTACTAGCACAGTGGAAGGGCCCTTGATGTTGTGGATAAAGTGTCTAATCATAATTATTTAATACAAGTGGGAAATCAACAAAAACGATTCCACATAAACATGCTGAAGGAATACTTCACAGCTGATACAGGATGTGCGTCCTATGTTGAGAGAGTTGTGGCGAAGCAAGACGCAATGCTTTGCATAACACGAGAAGGGGCCAGCAGTTGGTCTTTGCAACAGCAGCAGTATCTCTCGTATGTTAAAGCCTTCTTTTCGCAGAAAACCTCGAAACTCGGCAGTACTTCCACCACAACGTACATCGGTGCCGCTGCAGTAATTCCAGAAAGCGAGTGTGACGACGGACCCGTCACTGCACAATCGTGGCAGACCGAGACCATCGATAATGTGAAAGTGAGTGACACCTTAAACCAGAGGAAAGAAAACAGTTAAGATGCTTATTGAACCAATTTAGTTACATATTCTCAGATAGACCAAAGGTTGCAAGGGTTAATTACCATCATATCGAACTAACTAGCTCTAAAGTTGTGAGACAGAAACCTTATCCCATACCTATGAGATTAGTGGACGCAGTAAAGAAAGAGATCGAGGATATGGCAGATGCGGGAATCATTGAAAAATCTACGTCCCCCTTCTGTAGTCCTATAGTGGTAGTGCAGAAAAAAGATGGTAGTGTGCGTATATGTGGAGACTATCGGAAAATAAACACTATTACAAAAACAGATGCAGAACCAATGTGTGACCAAAGAGCTATTTTCTCCAGACTGACTGAATCCAAGTTCTTTAGCAAACTCGATTTAACAAAAGGTTTTTTTCCAGATACCTTTACACCCTGAGAGTCGAGAGGTCACAGCTTTTACCAGTCCTGTCTGTACCAGTTCAGAGTACTTCCGTTCGGACTCTCGAACTCACCAGCTGTATTCAACAGGGTCATGAGACAAGTGTTGCAAGGCGTCAAAGGAGTGGAAGCATTCATTGACGATATTCTGGTTCACTCTTCTACGTTCGAGGAGCATCTGAAGATCCTTGAGGAGGTATTCCAGCGGTTACAGTGTGCAAATATGACTGTCAAGCCAAGTAAGTGTGAAATTGGATTTAAAGAAGTGCAGTATCTTGGCCATACTTTAGGTGAGGGAAGGTGTAGCTGTCAGAACGACAAAATTAAGAAGATTAAAGATGCACCACGACCCACGACTAAGAAACAAGTACGATCTTTTGGGGCTGACGGGGTATTACCGTAGCTTTAGATTATAAACTCTGAATTTCTATTATTCTGAAGTTAATTCCATGAATAACTTTATGCATAAGATACGAAAGAATTGTCAGATCTAGTCAAGAATGAAACCGGGATTATAAATAAGTGTATAAAAGAAAACACGTAAATTATGAATAATTAAAGACTTTGAACATTTTGATAAAGAAGACTGATATAAATCTTCATAAAAAAGAAAGACTTTGATAAGAATTTGACAGGTTCAGAAGGCAATGTTGTAGCAAGAGCAGGGAACTCCTGGTCTTCGATCACTGGCGTTCCAAGTGCTCGCGGAAAGAGTTCGAGTGTTCTATAAAATGGAATGCACACATCATGAACTGACATTGGCACACACAGCACACACATTCATATATATATATATATATATATATATATATATATGGATATATGTACATGTCACATTTAAGTACCTGAAAAGCCGGAGAGAACGTGGCAAATCAAGGGTAACTCTTACAATCGTGCAAGTTGGACTTCAGTGCCTACGCAAGATCATGTTCTAATATAGTGCCCATAACGATATAATAACACAAAACATGCACATCGACTCAAAACACTTCACACACAGGCAGCACACACGTGCTACAAAACGATATACTAATATATAATATATATATATATATATATATATATATATATATATATATATATATATATAATATATATTATCATAATAACCTATATTTTAATAATATATAATATTTATATAATATCACATATAAATATATATAAAAAAATTTTCGACGCGATAAAATTTATGGTATATATATATATATATATATATCTATATATCACTATATATATATATATATATATATATATATATATATATATATATATATATATATATATATATATATATTATATATATATATATATATATATATATAATATATATATATATATATATATATATATGTAATATATATGTGATATATTATATATGATACCTATATTATATGTTATGGCTATATTATATTTATAGTTATAGCTGCATATAGGCTAACTACCCTGAAAATCATAAAGCATCAATTCCTTCACAATGTCTTGGAACTTGGTGACCTCTCGCCTCCCATGGAAAATTGCGTCCACCCCTGTCCTCGGAGCAGCAGGAGGGCCCCAGAGGTCTAGGGTCATGGACCACCGGCGTGTAGACACACCCTGGCCCTATACCAACTCCTGTCCCTAAGCCCCCTGGGGTTAATGGGAGGCTTGGGGGAGGTGAGCCTTGCCAGTCCTCCTCCCCCCAGATATAACCAATCGGCAACGACCTTTGTAAATGGAAAGGCCGGGAGGAGGGGAAAAGTCACTCCCACCCAGCAAGTGAGGCGGACTGTGGGCCCTGCTGTGGGGGCGACTGCTGGAGCGCAGGCTGGGAACGGGAAGTACTCGTCTCGCTGCGCTCTGGCAGCCGCCAGCCCAGAGTGAAGCTTGTGGGGGAAAGTCCTCGGGAACCCCACAGGTGGATGATGGGGCCCGCAGCCCGCCACCCCCTTTTATGTGGGACAGCGTCGGCGGGGATGGCAGAGGTGGCGTCCACCTGGAGTAACTGCCCGAGGTTGAATCTCAGGCGGGAAGTCAGGGTTGGGGCTTGGAACGTCCGTTCTTTACGTAAGGATGATCGGTTGCTTCTGCTGTCGAGGGAACTGGGGAGGTTGAGAGTTGAGGTGGCTGCTCTCTCAGAGGTGAGGAGACCTGGCAGCGGCATGACCAGTGTAGGTGGCTACACCTATTACTGGTCGGGTCGCAGCGACGGTCATCACCTCCAGGGAGTAGCCATTGCCATCTCCAACAGATTCCAGCCCTCGGTAGTAGGACTTTGGAGACCTGCTAGGAGAACCTGTTCAGTCAGTACGTGCTTGTGGCAAGGACATTTAAGTCACAGAGAGCTTTACATACCGAGGTAGTGTAGTTCATAATTCTGGGCTGTCAAACCAGGAAGTCAGCAGAAGGATTGGCCTGGTATAGCCAGTTTTGCTATACGGTAGTGAAACCTGGACATTATCCTGTGCCTTGGAGGCTTGTCTTGAAGCCTTTTGTAATAGGTCCTTGCGCCAGATCATGGGTTACTGTTGGCGGGACCATGTGTCCAACCAACGGGTGCACCGTGAGACTGGCACAGGACCTTATATATATATATATATATATATATTATATATATATATATATATATATATATATATACATACATGCATAAATATGAAAATATGTGCAATAACTTACAATATCTCGCAAAATACATGACGAAAGTGTGCCAACGCATAATAAGGAACATGAATAGTGTAACATTAATACAAAAACCCCGATGACCGAAAATCATTATGTGATCCAGGGCGGGGTTTGGGGGATGACACTATGGTTAATAATAGTAGTATAAATATAAAAAGATTAACATTTCTTACAGTCATAAAATTAAGCGTTTAACAATAATTAAAATGTAAAAAATATTTTGGTGCGGACATTTTTATGAACAATAAATATCTAAATTCCATATTGGGAAACCCCTTCTGATGCCATCTGTTTTTAAATCAAGTAAGAAATGCACAATTCAGTCGTAACAATTTTACATACATTTCACTTGTGCACTCGTCACTGTTACGGAACTGTAATGGTAGCGATTTGCGGTCCTTCAGGCATTACAAGTGAAAATATGGCATTGTGCACAGGATGTGAACAAACTTTTGAATAAACTATTGTGAAATTTTATCAACAGGACGATACTGCAATAGAGTTTTTTCAGTGCCACGGCGTTCTCCCAAAACAAATAAATTGTAAATCTTGCTTAAAAGAGTGCAATTTTAACAGTGTAAGAAACCGTTTCCACTGCAACAGACAAAACACAAATCCAAATAACAAGAGTTAAAAAATGTAACTATACTGTGTCAATATTCAAAGACACGTGGTTGGAAAATGCAAAATTAAAACCGAGTGAAAATCTAAGATTCATGAGTATATACTTAAGACCAATTTTCTCCCAAAAATATTTAGAAGAAAACTTTGGCTGGAGCCCACACACTGCTGTGGACTGGCGCTCCTTTGCTAGAGAAGTGTGTACCAGTGCCATTAAGAACTTCGGGGCCTTCTCGGAGAGGGGGGGGGGAGAATCGTCGAGTGCGACGAAAGTTATTTTGGTGGAGGAAAATTTAATCGTGGCCGAAAGGCATTTAAAAGCTTTTGGATTTTTGGAACATGAGCGTGGCACAAAAAAAGTTTATTTTACAAAAGTAAAAAATAGAAATTCTAAAACATTATCAAAAATTATAAAAGAACATATTTGCCCTGGTGCCACAGTCTACGCTGACCAGCGGAGAGGATACAATGCATTGAATAAACTGGGTTACCATCACAAAACGGTCAACCACTCTTTAGATTTTTTATCCTCCAAAGACAAGAAGGTACACACACAAAATATAGAGCGCCTTTGGAGCACTATTAAAAGTTGGGAGCAGCGACCGGGAAAATCAAGACAATATTACCATCAGTATTTTGCTCGGTATGCGTTTTGCGCTCGATAGAAGCCCAAAAGCCGCCTGTGCGCATTTCTTCGGGCCGCTGCACAGCTCTCTCCCCACCACATTAAAGCGGGAAGTCAGAATCTTTATTTATTAGCAGTGCCATAATTTCTTATTTTGCTCCTACCATTTACTTACTGTAAGCGACGATCCTTTGAAGCATAATGTGACATTGTGTACTTACAACAGCAAGACCTATTTTAAAACATTTAATCGGATTTGTTTAGTGTCATGCAGCAGAAACACATGCCAGAAAGTAAAACATATATATAATACCGTGTCACTTCGCATATAGAACGTGATGTGAACACAATAATCGAAGAACTTGTGCGTGTGTAACCATATTTATATATTGTTAAATACATTTTAAAACGTGCAAACTACAAAGACGCGGATTCAGCGACAGCCCACGCTTCATTATTTTCTCCGTTAACGATATTCGTAACATTATAGCCTATAGCTCTACTTGAAATATAATAGCAGCATATAGTGAACCATTCAGGAAACTCTATACCGACACAACCTTCAACGAACGACAAAATATAATGGCCTTGTGTGGTATGTGTACTTTGACAATAGTTTATATTTTTATGATAAACTAATAATTCGTGAAAATAACTTCCAAATAGAAAATAAGTCGGAAGAACGTGGGAATGCTGCCATGCAATTCTAATGACGAAATTAGCAAAACTAAAATGATTAATACTGATGTTTGATAAGTGCATAAATATATTTTAGTGTAATTTCATAGGATCATTAGTACACATATAACAATAGCCCCCCCCCCCAAAAAAAAAAAACGAAAAAAAAAAAAACGTGTATACTTACATTTGTATGTTTGTGTATGCATGTATTCGTATATGTGTATAAGTATGTCTATATGTGTATATATACATATATATACATAATTGTAATAATAATCCGCACTTAACAGGATTTCGCATTGTAAATAATGGTATGCAATGCTTATTACATCTTAAGTATGGTATGCCTTGTGTAATTGACAATTACTAGCAAATCGGTGGTTTGTGCTGTATGACTAAGGTTAACCAATGAAAACTTATGTGACGTCACTTTAACTGACCAATCAAAATGCGTAAATTTATGGTAGCTGTGCTCTAGTCCCACAAATCGTTCAGTCGGTCTGTGTCCGTTGTTGAGAGGGAACGAGTGTCGATTTTTTAGATATATATAAAGCCGGCTAATTGGTTTCCGATGCAAGATAAAGGTATTGTTGTAAAACAATTACCTACATATTTGTGACGTCGTGACAAAGGCAGAACAACGTGGGCGCAACGTTAAAAGGTTTTAAACGCATTCAGAAAACCGGTTATGTTGTGTCTCGTACCAGAAAAAAAACTTATTACACCATATTTCTTACATTAAAGGGTTGTGATGAATGGACGGTTTATAATAAGGTAACTT